ACCGAAAATAAGTAAGTCGGTACGGAGGCAGGCACAGTGACACGGGTTCGATCTCCTCGCTTGCCTCTTAAAGACCGGTTTATCTGAACGAGCGCGGCGACATTTTGGGATCATTGTTCGGCCTGGCTGTTCTCCTCGTAACTCATACGAAGACGCCAGCGACCAGAGGCGTAGCCACAGAGGGATGTAGCACCCTTTTTGTTTATTTATTTCTTTATTGCAGTGCAAAGCATATATCCCCTCCCCCAGACTTGAGAATTTAATAATTAATATTTGCAGTAATAATTACTAAAGTTATTTCAGATCGCGAAATTAAATGACTTATCACCTCGAACATACAATATTTGATTTTTGCTATTATATAGCTTTGATTTTTCTATTATTAACTTCTTTCATTTTTCTTCTATAATTTTTTATTTAATTTTTTATTATAATATTTATAGGATAGAACAGTATAAAGCAATGAAGAAAAATATACGAGATTTAAAAAAATTTAATATATAAAAATACTTATATAAAAAAATATCTTTAAATGAATACGTGCATTTTCTATTGTACAATAATAAAGTTGTAAATTCGTATTTGAAAAAATAGAAAAATATATTTAAAAAGAAAAGTTACGCTGCTGGCCTGGCGTAAGTCGCGAGTGACTTACAAACGATTATATATCCCTTTTGTCTTTTACGTTTTATCTTCAATGACATTTGTCGTAGCAGAAATATGGATATAGGCTTTTTTCGTCCAGACTTACAATTAATGGACGATCTCAATGATTAGTATTTCACATTTTCAATATTACTGTACTCTTGTATCTTTGTGATTGCAACATTATTGTTATATTGTCGTATCGTCCTTGATGACTCTCATATGAGATATTAATCGCGTGTGTAAAATTCGATTTATCGCATAGCTTCTCCAATTTTTCTTCGATAAAACGATCTCTTTTTTATTTTGTTTTTTTTTCTTTCGGCAATAATTTAGCGAGACGTCGCATATATAACTAAAATTATCGATATTATGCGTGATTACAAGGCCAGACGACGATCGATCACCGCGGCCTTTAAAACACGAAGGAAAAATATCGCGCACGAGAGGACGATCGCGGAAAGAAGAAGGCGGTGACCAATCGATCACCTGAACGATAGCACGCTATATATTGATGAAGTGCATGTATACGTGAACAAATCATCCGCGCCTAGTCCGCTTGACGTCAAGCTCACCGCCGCACTGTTCTGTCGGGGGATTAAAAATACCCCCGATTCTCGGCGAAGTAGTCAATGTCGGATAATTGTAGTTTCGATTTGTCCCACATTTGCGCTCCTATCGTATTATCTGAAAAATGCATAAGGGCAAGCACACACGCGCGATTAAACTCCGATCGAACGCACGTGTTCAAAAAATTCGTGTTTCGTTTCGACACACGTGTTATTAGATCTGCTTGTTTCCGTCACGTGCTTCCGCACTTTATTTTCTTTTCCGCTTTTAAATATATATATATATATATATATTGAGTTCGAGTTTGAATACAAAAAAACGCCAAAGGTCGTAACTCTGTTAATTCACCAATCTGACAATAAAATCAGGAAATCAATCAAATTATACTTTATTTTAGTTTTTAAATATATTTTAGAATTGATAATATCTTTAAATTGATTAATGTTATCTAATTTAATTTTCCGTAACTTATTAAAAATGTTCTTATATATTTTGAAGTGAACATTTATTTTAAATTAATAATCATATCTCTCGACGCAAATATATATATATAAGCATTAAAAGAGAAGTGGAGAATATATATATATATATATATATTTTCCACTTCTCTCCATTTTATTTGCAACAACAAAAAGTTGAAATAATTTGTGATTACATAGATTGTATATGTTGATAAATCTGAAAAACACTAGATTTGTCTTCTTCATTATCTTCCGTTGCGATAGCGGATCGAATGCCGAGTAAACGTCTCTTTAATCCATATTAAATAGGTAATGCAAGAAAATATGTCAGAAAATTGTTTGTATGTTCGAAAATAGCCGATATCAGGTGCCGGTGATGAATGAGGCGTTTAGAAGCGAAGCTGCAATATGTACGCGAGATAAATATGTAATGCGAAGAGGATGATGGTGTCTCTAACGTGACTGTGGGCACAAATTAAAGATTTGAAAAATAATAAGTCAACATGTATAGCAACAGACAAAAAATAAATGTGCTAACTCATCTAGGATGTGAAAATAAACTTTATCGAGTAGTTCTGTGTCCTTATTTAAATTAATACCGTTTTTCTGCTCCTTTATATGTATCATTTCTGAAATAAGTCGGTTTTGATAGTTATTTTCAAGGTTAAAAATTTTTATATTATCCCAGTCAGTATATTTTTTATTTAAGATGTGTTCACTAATTACAGAATGTCTTGACGAGTCTAATTTAATATTATTAATACTAGATAATATAAGCGCGCGCTAAACAAACTTTTTTCCGCGATTGTACATAATTTTAATTTGCCGAATTATATACATAACTTTAATTCTCAAATTTCTACATAATTTTAATTCGCCTAATTTCTATTACACACATAATTTTAATTTGCTGTACTTCTTTTACATAAATAATTTTAATTTTTGATTTTCCATTATGTTCATTTTAATTCTTGAATTTCTATTAGGCACATAAGTTTAATTTGCTCTATTTCTACATTTATGTATGTAAATAAGTGTAATTGTACCTAATAGAAATTCGGCCAATTAAAATTATGTACATAATAGAAATTCAGCGAATTAAAATTATAATATAATAGAAATTGAAGAATACTTATGTATTGTATATAGTAAAAATTCGGTGAATCAAAGTTTAAAATATAATGTAAATTCAAGAATTAAACTTATGTACACAATAAAAATTCAAGAATAAAATTATGTACATAATAGAAATTCAGCGAATTAAAATTATGAAAAGATAAATTGAAGCATTAAAATTAAATATATAATGAAAATTCGACAAATTAAAATTATGTATATAATAGAAATCTGCCCAATTTATACCTATATACATAATTTTAATTCGTCGAATTTTTATTTTGTACATAAAATTAATTCTTTATTTTTATTATGTGTATAATTTGTCCCGAAGATAATTTTTAAAAAATATCCTAACGCAATAGAAATTGGACAAATTAAGATTATTTATACATATAATAGAAATTTGGTGAATTAAAATTATTTACATAAAAGAAATACGGCAAATTGAAATTATGTACATAATAAAAATTTAGCAAATTAAAATTATTTATATAATAGAAATTTGATAAATTAAAATTACGTTACATAATAGAAATTATAGAACAGTACATAATAGAACATAGCATAATTACAGTACTAATAGAAATTAAAAGTTCAATGAATTAAAATTATGTATATAATAAAAATTTGCTGAATTTCTGTTATATATAATAGAAATTTGCTATTATATATAATAGATATTTGCTGAAATTCTATTATATACATATGTACATATATATATATATATATATATATATATATAATGAAAATTCATCGACTTTTTTATTTTACACATAAAATTAATTCTTTATTTTTATTATGTATATAATTTAATTTGTCGAATTTCTATGTGTAAATAATTTTAATTCGTTACATTTCTATTATGTATAAATTAACTGAATTTCTATATATACATAATTTTAATTCATCAAATTTCTATTTCCCTTTCTAATTGACAAGAAACTGCGAAATTGAAATCACTCAATCACAAAATTAATAAACAATTATTTATCAGATTTCAACTATTATTTATACACCAAATCCTTTAATAATAATATACATTACTATCACTAACCCCTCGATACATACAACTGTCAAAATATGCAATAACAGCCGCTCACAAAGTAAACGCTGTGACAGAACCAATCGGCATCGCGGAAAAGAGGCAACAATACTTCGAGATTTTCGAGATAAACCGATACATTCGAGAATCGACTTAACATGCCTTTTTTAAAGAAAGGAGGATGCTCTTTGAGTCTAGTACGTAACTGTCTCTTTGTCTGTCCCACATATGACGCATTGCAATCATTGCAATTAATTTTATAAATCACATTATATACAAATTGCAAAAGTAATTGTTTTTGTTTTTTGTACGTAGTATATGTCGTATATGCATTTAAAAAAGAGTTTATTCAAATTAACACTACCAAAATAAAAAAAGAAAGTAAACAAAATAAACGCAGTCTTTTGCGAAGCGGTAGTGTCACGCGTTTCGAAGCAAGCGACTTCGATTTTTCGCCGTACGAAGCGAGTGACTTCGAAAAGGTCCTTTCAATAACTTTGCGCATCCTGCCAGCGATAAACTCGCATGCAGTGTTTTGTATCTTCGAGGAACAGAAAACGATCTAAATGATCGACTCGAGACTTCACATTTTTAAACGTTTTTCGAATTTTTCGCTGCACTTGCGCACGATGTTTTTCTCAATGTTTCATGTCGGGAAAAACGCGCGTTAGTAACTGATCAAGAGATCAAAAACAAGAGATCGTTGTCCCGGGTCCTGTCTTCGCGTGTGTTTATACTCGGTCTAACACAGGTTTGTCGCAACTCGCTTCGATACATCATATTTGCCCGGTTTACAAAAGATTTATGACTTTTATTTCTCGTCCCCGCAAGGAACATGTATTTTTAAACACAATGAAGTCGGCGCGAGCAAACACAAATAAAAATAAAAACGTCAACGACAGGTGAAATTCAACGGTCCCTTTCGGACAGATAATCTCGGAGAATAATTATATGATTGCAGATTATCGCGCGGAACTTACAAGATCGAGCTCGAACACAATACATATATAATTAAAAAAAATAAATAGATAATGCATAATATTAATTAAGGTGCATTGATCATTTAACAAGCATATATTTATATATTTATATTATTTACATTTATACATTTATATTATTATACTTTACAGTAAAATATATTTATATATATCTATTTAGGCTATTTTCTTGTGACTATATATACAGAATAATATATAATTCAACTACTTCAAGCAAGTTTGCAAAAATATGAAAAACTTTAGGCACGCAGTCATAAAGTTTAGTAATACAGAGGTATCAAATAGTAATGCATCTATGTAAACAATAATTAAAGCAATAAAAGAAATAGTACATACAATATAAAAAATTATTCATATGAAGTACATTCACGCCTGCAAAGCTGCAATTTTTTAATTCCACTGAACAAAAAAAATATTTTCAGAATATTGTATCTGTCTTTTGATTTGATCGTTGCGAATTGATATCTTGCTCTCAATTTTGTCAGAAATCAACATTTTGGAATCCTAATAAGATTAAAAATAAAGATTTGCACAATAAAATCAATATACTGTTTATATAATAAATAAAACAGACATAAAATTAATATTCAGAGTTTAATAAAAGAGATAGAACAATATTTCTTTTTTTCTCGCTTTCAATAATATTTATTAAATTTACCTTTTCTTCCATTATAGAAAAGTCTATATTGTCCTTCATACATTCAAAGTAATTGTTTATTTTCTAAAATGTATTATTGTATAACATTATTAATAAACAACATTATTATAACATTATCAAAATTATTTAAACATTAAATAATAATTATTAATATTGCATTATTATCACGTTTGTATACATATATAAACATGAAAAATTTTTACCTCATTTAGATTTAGAGAATGTATATTATTAATAATAATAATTAATACTGCAACAGTATAATATTATCTCTAAAAGCGATAAAACAGATGTATATATAATACACATAAGAAATTTTGTATAAAGTATTTATAAAAATATGTCACATTACTTTGATTTTATTTGGCAAAAATCATTTAATATGTATTGCAGTATAGTTTGATTCTTCGCATGCTTCGTAATAATATGTAAGGACATGTCAAAATGATATTGATATTGCTCTGTAAAATTGTACTGGTTATAGTATATTAGATTAGACTGGTTATAGTATGTTAAATACTTGTAGATGACATCAATATCTTCAGGGCAAGCCAAGTATTCTGAAAATTTAGTGTCAGATTTATCCAATCCTATATCATGCACTAATTTCCAAGTGGTATCTTCTTTGATAGATATCATCAAACCTTTACAATATGTCCATTCCTTCCACCATGGCAAAAGTCTAAAATATAAAAAAATTAACTTTCTTATTAAAATTTAGCATATGGACCTCTTGATCACATTATTTAAACATTATAGGCGATATCTACAAGAATGATTAAGAAAGACTAAAGATATATAACAATATTTACTTGTGCTTTGTAGAATTTTGTAGATGTTGTACTAATTTATTGTTGGCTTCTGCCTTACATTCGAAGTCGCCGAGAAAACATGCCCATCTTGCAGCTTCTTGTCGTAAACATTTTCTAAGGTCGTCACTATCATCAATTTCTTCATATTTGATTCTTATTTTAAGTACCTCGTTTAATGCATGGTTTATGTAATTCTAAAAATCATTAAATATATATTTCTTTATTCATATTATAAATGTATTTAGAAATTATTAAAATCTCAAAAGATTAAAATAAAGTTGCTAATAAAATTATAAATGATTTATTAAAGTTTAATCGAACTGGTTAATACAAATCGTATCACGCATAACGTTTTGACACTTAAGTACGAGCCTTTATCAAGTGGTGCTTTCAAGATGTTAAAGTGAAAAACATGATATTGAGTAATATACTTGATAAGGGCTCGTATCCAAGGGTCGAAACGTTGTGTGTAATACGATTTGTATTGGCCAGTTAGATCGAACTTTAATAAATTATTTATAAAAATTATTATATTTTTCTATTATTTATCAATATATTCTTAAAATATTCTCTTTCTTTAAGACAAACATACATACAAATTTACTTATAGAGGCGAGCGTTTATTTATGCACGTACATACGTTCAAATATACATATATATATGGAAAAATATGCTTTAATTTATGCGAAATATTTATAATATTTAAAAGATATAATTAAAATTTTATAACTATTTATCAATCATTTTATTTTTAAATAAGATAAAAAAAAGTATATATTGTTTTGAAATATATATCAAAACTTTTCCAACTCTATATATGTTTTATTTTTTTTAAATTATTAACATATAATATTTATATAAAGCCAATATAGTATTGCATTCATTGACAAGATTTAAAGCACCTAGCGATATATCCAATAACAATGTTATATACCAATAATATTATTGGCAGTAGTGAAAATCATACACTTTTGGGACCGTTCTTCGGGTGAGTGATTATTCAAAATGAATTTGTTAGCACATTTGTTTGCGACGTAAAATAATATGTAAAATTTTATCGTTGCGGTATTTTTTTGAATATTTAAATTTTTTGTAATTAATAAGTGTATATATGCAAAAATCTGAAATATATCACTTTTATTAATATTTATTAATATTTACCTTGAAATTCCACATTTTATCTTCCAGCATGGCTACAGGAACAGTGCTAAATATGTATTCCAGAGCTTTAAACATAGGATACCATGCTATATACTCTTCTTCTCGATGCAAATACGATATTATATCTATAAATACAAGGAATTTGAGTTCTCCTGCTATTATTAAATGAAATGCATCATCGATAATTTGGGCACGATTAAGAACATGAATTTTCGTGTAATTATCTGATTTCAAATAACTTGAAATTCTTCGCCAATTCTCATCATCATAGTTAACGCGATAATATCCTGTCGAATAGTAAATAAATTCTATTAATTTTTATTGTTTTGAATAATTTTATCAGAATACATTTTCAAATATTTTTGTTTCATAATTTTGTTTATATAAATTATAAATGAAAAACGTACCATAAATTTAATATAAATAAAATGATAATATATATAGAAAATTAATTATAAAAATGTCATTTTAATATTTGAAATAGTGGAAAAAATAAAACTGTGCAAGATATTGTTGCATATCATAAAATAAAATTAATTTTAGAAATATAATTATACTTTTAATAATTTTTCTTATTATTAGAATAAAATATACTTGTAAAAAAATAACATTAATATTGAATGATATTATTTATAGAAAACATCTACGTACATTTTAAATATAATATTATGGACATAATAATGCAGAATATGACAAAAAGCATTTTAAAACTATTACAGTTATTTAATGAATATTTCAGATTTTTATAGGACAATGAATAAAATAGATAAAAATATAAAACAATATCAATTATGTTGTGTAAAATAAAAACGAGAAATATATCATAATAAGTCCATTGGTCGATATTTACCAATTTGTTGTATATTGAATATCATCCAACCATCCTCTTTAAATGGTAATGATAATTTTAAATCCTTTGACACGCATACCATATGATGAGTAAAATTGTTAAAATCGAGAGACGCTTCCCTAGTAAAAGTTACAGGAATGCAGCCAATTTTTAATGTGTTGATATATTGTATCGATACATTTACTTCGCTCATTATCTCTCTATCATGATAATTTCGTACTGCTTTAATCACGGGACAATGATTTTCCAAAGCCCAATCTTCCATTCTTGTTAGTTGTTGAGTAATATTTGGATTTTTTAAAGCAATATGTTTTGTAAGCTCCACAAAGCCTTTATCATATGATTCGCTAAATTCACGCAGGATAAAATATATAAAAAAACATTACAAATATGTTAAAATTGTCTGTAAAATATTAATATTATAAAAGACTTTAACAAATATTAAGAAGCAAATTATAAAATTGCACTTTTATATATATATATTTATATATCTTATATTTATATTCTAATAATAAATAATATAACACAATTTTAAATAAAATTTAATAATTTTATTTAATTTTTTAGGTATTTTTAGCATTAATACGAATTATATTTGAGCAAAGTATTGAAAGAGTATAAAATGATTAAAAGAAGAAATCAAATTTTAAAAAATAATCAAATAAGAACTAAACAAATAACAAATTAAAAGCAAAAAAAATAAGAAAAATAATATAAAGGCTCGATTTACGAGAGAAGGAAATAAAAATAAAAAAAGTAATGGAGAAGTGATATAAATGTTACATATTTAAAAACCTGTTAAATAAAATTAGAAAATAAATGTAGCACAAAATCCAATTAAAAAAAGATATAAGAATTATAGACAATATAATGAAATATAGGAGATAAAAAATAAAAACAATAAAAATTATTTCAAAAATTACTTTAAAAAATTACAAATCGTGAAACAAAAATAAAAGAACAATGAATATGTATATATGATAAAGTAATAATGGCAAAACAACAATTACTTTCTCCAGAAACGGTTTTCATAGGAAGAGTAATGAAATTAAAAATAATTCAAGTAGAAGATTTGGAAAAATAGCGGAATTGTAAAACTAAGAAAAAAACATTATGAAATAATGTCAGAAAAAACGAAAGAAAATAAGGGACATTATATAAAATTTCTATTATTATTACATTTATGTTGTGTACAATTTTATCTTTTTGATATTATATTCTATATTGTATTACTCACGTGTCATATGCATATGTGCTTATGCTTTCCTGAAACATTTCTTCTGTGAGGATGTGTTGCATCATCCGTAGTATAAAAGGTGCTACAATTTACATCAAAATTATGAAAATTAAATATATTACATATATATATTTATTTTGATGGTTACTTGAAAACATAACGATTTTATAAAAGAAAATTATATTGTATATGTATACAGGGTAGTAATCGCGTAAGAGTGAAATGTTTTTTATTGCCGCACCGTTCATCATTTTATTTATAGTAAATCTTTGAAGAACTATTTAATTAATTTCTTGTACCTACATATGTGCAGGTATTACCGGACACTGTGTGTGTGCGTGTGCGTGAGCGTGTGCGTGCGTGCGCGCGCGCATGTGTGTGTATACGCATGCCCGCGTATGTATGTACTTTTATAAAATAATATTTAATTAAAATTCAGATAAAGAATTAATTATCTTCCAACTTAACACATATTTTATAATATTAATAGTTAAAAACTATTTTATTATATTATGTAATATTTCTATTAAATATTATGTCATACCGCGGACTATTTATTATATTATGTTATACCTCTGATAGATGCGTGTGTGTGCGTGTGCGTGAGCGTGTGCGTGCGTGCGCGCGCGCGTGTGTGTGTAAACGCGTGCCCGCGTATGTGTGTATGTACTTTTATAAAATAATATTTAATTAAAATTCAGATAAAGAATTAATTATCTTCCAACTTAACACATATTTTATAATATTAATAGTTAATATTATGTCATACCGCGGACTATTTTATTATATTATGTTATACCTCTGATAGATTGGCGAATTTTCAATAAACTGTCATCTTGTGAAGTAGAAGGCCACATATGATTACCATCCAAATTAAAAGAGTAATGTTGATTTTGAACAACAAATAAATTCATTATTCGATAATCTGGATAAGCCTATAGAAAAAATAATTAATTTATCGATATAACCGTTCTGAAAATACTTGTATCTTGTATTAAATTTGAATACTAATATTATTAACGTTACTTCATAATTAAAACAAAACACATTCTCATTAAAAAATATAATAATAAAATCTAAAATTTTGTATTAATATAATTAGCAAATATTACATATTTTTTAATTATATTGTTTCATGATATTATATTGCAGACTTCTTTTTATCAAATTTTTTAAATAAATCTCATGTGTACTAGTTTCTGATTAATTTATTTTATTTTAAATTTCATAAAAAATTAAAAATATCTAATAAAGTGTTAAAAAATAAAAATTTTTAATAAATTAAATTATAAATATATATGTGTAAATATGTGAGAAAAAGTATTTTTTTAAAAACAATTGATTATTTTATATAATGCTAAACGATTTTAAGACAAAGGATGCATATAGATTTTTTAAAAAGGGTTTTGATTTAAGAAAATCTTGCAATAAGAATACTTAAGTATTGTATCGTTTGCGAGAAGGTGGGAGCGAGATTGCGTTGATAATATTTAGAATAACCTTATTGACAGCATACGTTGCAAGCAATGTAGTAAGACCTATTTTAAGCCAAAAATCCGATAGTAATGGATTGTTCATCATGTTATTAAACCATTGCTGTGTCACTTTACGTCCTACTAATTGAGCTACTTCGATTTTCTGAGCAATAGGATATAAATTTTTATCGTAGATGATATCTGTTTCCCTGAAAGTTATATTTAAAATGTTAAGATTGAGAACTTTTATAGAAAATACAACTTTACTTTTGTTACAATATTTTAAGTTAATTGTTAGATGTACGATCTACAAACTCATGGGTACAATTTAGCAAATGAGTATTGTAAATCGTACCAAATAATAATTTTTTTATTTTCTAATTTACAATATGAAACAAAGATAAATTTCTATTTATGTGTATATCGTTTGACAAAGAACAATAGTTTGAAATAAATAAAAAAAGTCATTTTTTTTATAGCTTTATTGCAGTTTTAACATCTTTCTTAGAGGGAACGATTTAGCATACTTACTTTACCCTTTATATACTTATTAAAATAGTAAACTTTAACTTTGTAATAATATGAATAAACTTAATTCTACTAAAATTAATTGTTTTCGCAATTCCTTATATTTTTGAACATTTACAGAAACAAAAGATATACATGTTTTTAAATTTTATAATTTTGCATATAAATATAATTTTATTTTTAATGCAATTTGAAGCACCTGTTCTCACCTATAAAGAACAAGTCCGTAAACTATTATGCCTTTGTCATGGAAATTTGGAATTGCAACATGATCCACCTTCGATTCCAATATGGAGAAAGCTTTCCAATCATATTCAAGAAACCTCGTGATACGTATAGTTACATTTTTTGCAAATTCTATGTGAAATCGAGATTCGTTTCTGCACCACATGTTAATGATTTCAATTTCGGTCTTAAGTGGGAATAGGTAATTAGACACAATCATTGTTGCAAGATAAGGCAACATTACAGGTGTGGTATGGAAGTGTCTCCATAACAAATTATCCGCATGTTCTTCCGTATTTCGCAATAGCATATTTGATAAAGCCGTGCATTGCTTACATTCTATAGAAATGTTAAAGGTTGCTTCTAACAATAAATCCTGTTGATCCCCACATGGAAACGATTGTCGAGCGCTTATTATCTGGAAATGCGAAGTAGCTATCCAACTACATTTCAAAGAACATAAATTAATAAAACTTTTTTTGACAAACATTAAGATATTGGGAATTAAAAACTGTATATATGTTATATGCGTCAATGCATATTATTTTATGACACTATTACATATTATTATAATAATAGATATAAAAGTATTGTTTGCTTTTAGATTTAAATTCTGCGATATATAATAATTTTTGGGACATTTAATACATAAATAGTATATTAATTACAATGTCTTATGTAATTGCATATTGTACTCTTTTTATTAATATATTGTACTCTTGTATATTAATTGACATTAGTTATTTACTTACGCAGTTTTTTTAACGTTGAATATTCTGAATTTTTTTTTAACAGTTGTTTTAATGTCGAATATTCTGAAACCTTTATTAGCAGTACCTAAATATTTTATATATAATATGTATTTTCCTGATGATATTTCATCCATAAAGGAAATATCAACTGTATTTTCTTCAGTATTATATGTCGATTCATAAATAGTATCATTTTCATGATATTTTTTCAAATTTGTAAATAAAACTATATTTTTAATACATAATTGTTTTGAATGTAAATATATGTGTTGTATTTTTTCCAAAACGACTATGCTGATATTATATTCCCCATAGAAAATATTTCCTTCAATAAATGTTGAAAACATGATATCGTAATGCATTGGTATTACATATTTTGATGGTTTATAGCATAAATATTCATTACGAGTGAAAGCCGTCGCAGCGATAAAAATTAATCCGCTACTTAATAATAGTTTTAAAAATATTATCATGTCGAAGAAAGGGAATATTTATTTTAGATCTGTAAAACACTCTGGACAAAAGATAAATAATGAAATTAAATATAGGACGAAACATAAATAATGAAATTAAATATAGCTTAGATTTCTCTTTAAACATATCTTGTATATAAATATAAAAATAAATACAAAAAGTATTTATATTATTAATTGAAAATCTTAACTAGTAAAATATTATATGGTGAGAAAACAAAGTGTAAATTTCCATTTGCACAATTCTTTTAAACAAAATTATATATATATATATATGTATTTCAGTGTCGCACATATTTTAATTGACAGCAATATAGAAATATTAAAATTACAATATATTTTATATTTTCTTTAAATAATTAATTTCATTGTCAAAAAATTATTTATATACATTTAAAATTTACAGAATATTATTTAGAACATAAGGATTTATAGTATATAAAGTGTTAGTTGTCTGAAGTAAATTACTTTTATAAACACAAGAGCCATTACTTCTACATACATATATACCTGTGTGTACATTCAAAATAATAAGAAGAGAAGTAGAGATAAGAAATACTGAGCAGCGGCGAGAGAAAGAGAGAGATAGAGTATATACATGTTTATTATTATGTTTGATTTCTTTTTTGATTTCTCCTCTTAAACTGTGTATTATAAACACTAAACGAACATTCACCGAAAATTAAGTTAACATAAATTTAATTTTAAATTATATCAATTATAAACTTAATAATTATATACATAATACATATATATAAGATGTCCCAGAACTTGCAATATACCTTTCAAAATCAGATATCTGAGATCATTTGAAGATGATTTTTCCTCAGCGAGAATGTCAAAATACCAATAAATTTCAAGTTATAAGCGATTGAAAAAAATGGTTTTTCGCTAACCAAGTTCTTTGGAAATAAAATATTAACAAAATCACATTCATCAATGAATTTCAAATAGAGTTCATTCTTATTAGAATTTCAATTTAATTACAAAGATACATGATGACAAATTTGGGAACATGCAAATAATGATAGTTTCCTTCGGCATTTTCGCGGAGGAAAAATTGACTCCAAATGATCTCAAAAGTCTACTATTAACCGGCTTACTACTATTTCTGGTACATTCTATATATAATGAGATTTTTTCAGATATTTTAAATATAAATTAAAAACCTTAAAATAGATGCGTTAACGATTGCTTAAAATCTACAATATTATGGATTTCTACATTCGATTGACAATTAGTATGTTTTATCATTTTATACTATAATTTTGAATTAATAAATATAATTATTCAAATTTGTATAATTAACAATTCGACTACTTATTATAATTTTTTTAAATTAAGTATTAAAGCTATAATCTTTATCAATGTTTATTTGATCAAATCTTTGTAAGTGAGATAATATTTTGTGCGTTTTATATCAAAGATTTTACGTCAAAAATTTTACGTAAATTACTTAGTATTCTACTTCTAACTTATATGATTAATATAATACTACTTATCTTTATGTGTTGTATTTATAATTATTTTTTCACTTAAAATTAATTCGTTCATACTTTATATAATATATCGTTGTTACAGTTATGTTACTCAATGTCGCACAATTTAAAGATTATTTTAAATATTAAAATACACACAGATATTTTTTTATAAAAAATAAAAAGGACGACAAATTTTAGAAAGAAGAATTTTAATAATCGAATAATGAAAGGATAATTAAAAATGTCTGTTATAATATTTATTATATGTTATGTAAATTAGTAATTTTAAATTTCAGAAATACTTTATTCGATATTAAACTTTTGTGGTCCAAGATTATTTCAACATTACAATTCGTAAAATATAATAATGATATTATTTGAAATTATCTCTGTATTAAAATTTAAAGATAATTTTGAATAAAACTTTTCTCTTTATGTTTAAATGTTGGAAATTCTTAAAAATTCCGTTATACTGCATGATTAAATGTCTGTATAATTAAATCTTTTTATATTTGTAGACAAATATGTTTTATATGTTTAACTTATTTTGACTTACCCAATATTTTGAAACAGAATGTTAAATGCAAAAGTATATTGATATATTTTTTTTATTTTACGGCAACAAATTAATACTTTAGCAGTATGCAATGTTGGAAGAATATATAAAATGTTCACACACACTTTGTTACAATCGTTATATCCACCACGATACGGTTCGACCGACCACAAAAGACTGACTGAGTCTCTCTATATACGTATAAATATGATAGGTCAACAAAACTTCTGAGGTCGTTATATATATATATATATATATATATATATATATATATATATACAGGGTGCACGGTAACTAACGGACCAACGATTACAAATGGATTCTTTGGTCAATTTGGAAACGATTTTTTCTCAGCGAAAATGTCGAAAAAGGTCATCATTTTTTACAACTTTCCAATATTTGTCATTATGTATCTTTATAACTAAGCCTCAAATTAAGATTTTCTTATAGTAAACTTTACCTGAAATAAACTGAAGAATGTAATTATGTTAGATTTTAACTCCAAAACGTTTAATTTTCAAAAGACCCATTTCTTTCAATCGCTTATAACTCGAAAATTATTGACTTCTCAACATTTTTGCTAAGGAAAATCGTCTCGAAAAATTTGGCCAGAGAATCTGCCCTTAATTATTGGTCCGTTAGTTACCGGACACCCTGTATATATGTATGTATTTGTGTGTATGTCAGCATTTGTGTTTAATAGTTGTCTTAATTACACATATTCAAATTTCGTGGAATTAATCATATAAATTATGCATCATTTATAAATTTATATCATTTATTCCGAAAAACATGAAAGCAATCTTTCTAGCTCTCTGTATCTAATAGTAAAATTAAAGAAACAAAATGCCGCATTTTTAAGCGCTAAAATTTTTACAATTAGCGGATAGAAGCAAGTATTGTAACTGTTGAGTAAGTATGTAATACATTTAAAATAACAAAAAAGTGCCGTTACTTTCAGGAGCTCATTCAACCTTTTAATATGTAATAAAAAAATTTTCGGTAGTGGAAATACGCGTTGATAAATAATCGGCGATGTTCGTGCGCGATATTCGCGATTTCTTCGCCGAATGTTCAGTTGAAGATAAAATATAGTGAAGTGTAGTGGTCAATTCTGGAATAAGTAAAATATAAAATATAGCGAAGTAAACAATTTTAAAATATAAAATATAGTGAAATTCGAAAATATCAGTGGCTTCTGAGTGCGTCGCACTCGTACGAGGATATAGTTCCCGGACGCAGAGGTTGGTCTCCTACAGGAAAAATGGATATGATACCAGGTAAGAACCAGAAGTACACCGAGACAGGAGAAGAAGAATCGTGGAAATGTGAATCAAAATATTTATTTCATTATTTATATTGATAAAGTGAATAGAAATATAAGTGTTGATTGAATTTCGTGTCAGAATAAACTCGATATAGCACGTTGCAGTCGCTTTTGGGCATTGAATAGTATATTAGCTAACAAGTGCGGGTGATAAATCGGCTGTGGAAGTTTGAAGCACAAGGCGAAGCCGAGTGTGACAATCCGCACGATCGGCCGATTTATGACCCGCACATGTTGGCTACAATATTTTGTGTGACCGATGCGTAGAAAGGGAGCTTTTTCTAAAATCCCATCATGTGCATATAAAAGGCGACTTTTTGCGCACCGGTTGCACAAAATAAGTAAATACCGTTTTTAAAAAATAAGTAAAATACCATTTCTTCGAGTTAAATATATCACATTAAACAAACTTTAAATATAATCAGGTTAGTAAACATAAGAATATATCCGTAAATCTTTTTTGTTTTATTGTTATTACATATGTATTTACAATATTGATATCACCTTTTTGCGTCTAGAAGTAAATTGGAATTGAAATAAAAGATATATTTTTATTTTTATTATATATATATATATATATATATATTATTGATTGCATTAATTAATTTATTAATTTAAATAACAATGTACTGTACTATTTTATTTGTAATATTTCTATTTTTTTAATTTAATTTAATTTTTTTTATTTTTTCTTCTATTCGTTAGGTAAAATAATGATAGACTCGCATATCCAGTTTACTATAAAATGTCTCGATAAAGTTATATAGAAATGACGCCAAAGAAAAATTTCGGTTTTAGTTTACATTTTATATATGAAGAACTTGCAATGATATATTTAATTACCAAAGGTGATTTTGAGAAGCGTCTAAGAGACATTCTTTGTCCATCAGATTTTATAACATTATCAAAATTATTTAAACATTAAATAATAATTATTAATATCGCATTTTATCACATTTTGTATACATACATATATTATATAAACATGTAATATTTTTACCTTTGTTTGATTTACGGAATATACGTTATTAATAATAATAATTAATGCTGCAATTACATTAACATGTCTAAAAACAAAAAAACAAATATATATATATATATATATATATATAACATACATAATAAATTTTTGTACAAAATGTTTATAAAATATTTTATATTATTTTGGTCTTATGGTCACAAAATTATCTAAAATGTAATCCAGGATAATTTAATTTTTGCATGCTTCATAATAATATGTAAAAAATTGTTAAGAAGATATTGATATTGTTGTTGTGTAGTATATTTATCATTTAAATAGATAGTAATTATATTATTAGATTTATATTCTAAATAGTCAGTAATTATTTTAGTATCTTCAGTACAAGCTAAGAATTCTGTAAATTTAGTGTCAGATTCTTCGAATCCTATAGCATATACTGATAGCTAAGTGAACATTTCTTTGGTTATCATCAAACCTTTACAATATGTCCATTTCTTTCACCATGTCAAAAGACCGTAATAAAAAAAAATTAAATTTTCTTATTAAAAATTAGCATATATGGACGTCTTGATCAAATTATTTAAACATTATAGACGATATCTACAAGAATGATTAAGAAAGGCTAAAAATATATAACAATATTTACTTGTGGTTTGTAGAATTTTGGAACTGTTGTTTTAATTTATTGTTGGCTTCTGTCTTACATTCGGAGTCGCCGAGAAAACATGCCCATCTTACAGCTTCTTTTCTTAAATATTTTCTAAGGTCGTTACTATCATCAATTCCTTCATATTTGATTTTTTTATGTACCTCGTTTAATGCATGGTTTATGTAATTCTAAAAATCGTTAAATATATATTTCTTTGTTCATATTATAAATGTATTTAAAAATTATTAAAATCTCAAAAGATTAAAATGAAGTCGCTAATAAAATCATAAATGATTTATTAAAGTTTGATCGAACTGGTCAATACAAATCGTATCACGCATAACGTTTTGACACTTAGGTACGAGCCTTTATCAAGTAATGCTTTCAAGATGTTAAAGTGAAAGACATGATATTGAGTAATATACTTGATAAGGGCTTGTATCCAGGGGTCGAAACGTTGTGTGTAATACGATTTGTATTGGCCAGTTAGATCGAACTTTAATAAATTATTTATAAAAATTATTATATTTTTCTATTATTTACCAATATATTCTAAAAATATTCTCTTTTTTTTAAGACAAACATACATACAAATTTACTTATAGACGCGAGTGTTTATTTATGCACGTACATACGTTCAAATATACATACATATATGGAAAAATATGCTTTTTAATTTATGCGAAATATTTATAATATTTAAAAGATATAATTAAAGTTTTATAACTATTTATCAATCATTTTATTTTTAAATAAGGTAAAAAAAAGTATATATCTTTTTGAAAAATATATTAAAATTTTTCCAACTATATATATGTTTTATTTTTTTTAATTATTAAATTATTTAATATAAATTTATATAAAGCCATTATAGTATTGCATTCATTGACAAAGATTTTAAGCACCTAGCGATATATCCAATAACAATGTTACATACCAATAATATTATTGGCAGTAGTGAAAATCATACACTTTTGGGACCGTTCTTCGGGTGAGTGATTATTCAAACTGAATTTGTTAGCACATTTGTTTGCGACATATAATAAAATGTTATTGTAATACAATTTTATTGTTGCGGTATTTTTTTGAATATGTAAATTTTTCGTAATTAATAAGTGTATATATGCAAATATCTGAAATATATCACTTTTATTAATATTTATTAATATTTACCTTGAAATTCCACATTTTATCTTCCAACATGGCTACAGGAAAAGTGCTAAATATGTATTTCAGAGCTTTAAACATAGGACATCATGCTATATAATCTTCCTCTCGATGCAAATACGATATTATATCTATGAATACAAGGAATTAGAGTTCTCCTGCTATCATTAAATGAAATGCATCATCGATAATTTGGGCACGTTTAAGAACATGAATTTTCGTGTAATTATCTGATTTTAAATAACTTGAAATTCTTCGCCAATTCTCATTATTATAGTTAACGCGATAATATCCTGTCGAATAGTAAATAAATTTTATCAATTTTTATTGTTTTGAATAATTTAATCAGAATACATTTTCAAATATTTTTGTTTCATAATTTTGTTTATATAAATTATAAATGAAAGATAGAACAATATTTCTTTTTCTTTCGCTTTCCATAATAATATTTATTAATCAATTAAAATTAATATCAATCAAAATTAATATTTGTCGCTAGTGGTGAAAATAAGCTTAAACGACTTGACTACGACGTAACTAGCAATTTTATTTGATTATTTCACGACGTTTCGACCATTTGGTTGTGGTCCTTTTCAAGTGAAATTTCTACAACATAATGTTACACAATATTTTTTAACATACGAAAACTAATTTAAGTGTTAAATTAATAAAATAAGTATAAATTTTATAAACATACCATCAATTAAACCGAGGTTAACATAACATCACACCGGTGTTATTTGAAATCGAAAGTTAAACGTTAAAAGAGGAACACGTCCCATCGTTATGATGTTAAAAGTTAAAAATTAAAAGAGGAACACGTCCCATCGTTATGATGTTTCGTCAACGACTAAACTTGAAACGTGCCACTAAACAATCTTTATTATTTTGTCGTAAATGTTTGTCAAATTCTCGGTGTCTT